TTTTTATTCATTGCATATTTCAATTATAAATTTTAAGTGATTTATCTATGTGTGGTTTTCAAATAATTTACTACTTAATAGATAAACAAATAAGAAAAAATTGAAAGACTTGGAAAGAAAAGAAAAAAAGACAATAGTAATGAATGCTATTACCAAAAACACTAAACCTTAATATTAAAATTAAGAAGAAATTTGTATTTCCTCATGAACAAATTTTTATCAAACTAATTTAACAATGAATTATAAGAGAACATATATATACATATATATATAATGAATCTTTTTATTTGTAAAAGAGATGTTATTATATTTCTTAAAATACAAATAGATATTTATGTTAAATTAAAAATATTTTGTAATTAATATAAAAGTTATTCCAAAAATATTTTTAAAAGTAAATAGATGGCCATCATATTTCACTAGAATGCGTACATGCTTTTGAATGATCAATTAAATAATAAAAAGATCCTTAATTTAACAAGATGACAGAATTGAAATATTAAATTTGAAAAAGATGTCAATAATATTTCTTAAGAGAAATAAATAAATGACTTCATTATGAAATCTACATTTTTAAAAATATTTTTTTAAGAATAATACCGAAATATATTTATAAGTTTTATATACTGACCTTTATCTCCGGTCCGTGTATATATTTTGTAAGTTTGACAACTGAAAAATACGTACAAATTATTTATAAATATTTATTAAATATTGTCTCCAATAAAATAAAAAAATTGCATTTTCTTTATGATTACAGAAGTTCTAAGGGGGTTAAAAATATGTAAATTATTGCGTAAAATTATGATAATAATAATTGATAATAAGTTGAAAATAATTAATTAATAGAATTCCAGTTAAAAACACTATGTTAATAGTTTTTATTTTATTTTTTACAGCATACCTTGTGGAAAATGAATATCTTTGCAGAAAAGGTCTAGAAAATTTATATATAATGTCTAACATTTTAATGCTATGTGATTCGATTCTAGAAATGCATGCTAAGATTACTTTGATTACGGACGTCTGGGAGGAGAAATTGTGCACCCTACGTTTAGGGAAAAATAGGGAATATTTTTAGTCAGGAATGATATGCACCGTTCCTCCTCCGATGTAACTCTGAAAATTTAGGAGGAACTCGCTCTGCACACTATTCGTGCTACCCTTTTGTTGAGGAGAAAATATCTCGAAAAGATGAATACTCACAGAAATATCTTAGATGTAACTTTCAAAGAAAGTTTCTGTTAGTAAAATAAATACTTTTTGCAGATTTTATGTTATAAATACATTGAAATTTTATATTCCTACCAAATTTATGCCACCAAAATGAATTTATATATGTTGAATGATACGAGATATTGGAGTTAAAAAAAAATAGATAATTAAAATGCATTGGCTTAAAATTATAAATTAATTCCTGAGTAACATTTATGATTCTTTTACTTTACTTATAATTTTTGAGTATTTACAGTTAATATTTAAAAAGAATTGCAATCTTTTAAAATTCCATATTTTTACATGGTGATGCAGTTTGCAGAACAATATATTTATACATCATTTACAATATTTTTTTAAATCATTATACTTTTTCATCCTATTTTTTATTTATATTTCCTTCATATATATTAAACTGATTTTTATCAAATTCTGATCTTTAATGTAGAATGAGAATTTATTAACTATCTTGATAACTAACTGTATGTGTAATGATTTAAAAAATATTGCATTACATCACATGCTGTTGAAGTTTTCATATTTTTATACTGGGATTCAATTTCCTGCACTCATTCATTTTATATTCTATACAAATTGTCATATTCAAGAAAAATGCTAATGAACGACGAACAGTAAATTCAATATCATATTTAGCTCAAAACACGAATATCGCCAAATATAGTTCAAAATGAGTTTGGCTCAGTTTTCGTTTTGCCAATAAAATAAGACACTGACGTATTCAGGGTTGCATAGTTTACGATGCCCAAAGCAGCGTTTGGATTGGCGGCTACTCTGGGAGTACTTTTGCTCTGTAAGGTCTAGTTTTTTGACCATATAAACAGTTTAGGCCGTAGTTGGTATAGCTACCGGTTTAGAGATCTGTTAAGCTCATGTTAGTTATTTTAAAATAATATTACATGATGGTTTCGAAATTATTTGTTTCATCAAAAACTTTTTCTGCTATTCAGCGGGTAAATATTGAAGAACTGTCTCGTTTAACTGAAGTAGAAATAAGACCACTTTTACCATGCTTGGTTCGTATGGCACTATGCGCTCCTTTGGATCAATCATGGGAATGGGCCCAAAAACGAAAAGTTATTCTACAATTGCTGTCTGGAATTGAAGTTGTAAATGCCCTTGTAGCTTTACTGTCTATAGATTTTCATCTTTTAGAAGTTGATGTACGAAAAGAACAACAACGGTTAGTATTGTACAGTTTTTATTATAAACTTTTCAGGTCATAAAAAATTGCAATAAAACTTTTTTCCATAATAAAAAGTCTATACCTGTAGAAAAAAAAAAGAGGGAAATAATCAATATTACAATACTTTTTAAGTTTGATTACATAATATCAATATTTCATACTGTTTTGTTTTCATATTATTAATGTATAATCAATTTACTGCTGTATATTTTAAGATTTCTATAAATCTCTCTATGTATAAATAAACATTAAGTATATTGATTGATGTGAAGTCACTGAATATGTCTTCTTTTTGTATACATGAAACAATATCTACTTATTTAAAATTAAATATCTATTCATCAATATCTTCATTTGGCTATGCATGTGTATGTACAAATAATCATAAATTTCATTAAATTGTGATTGTTATTCATAATTTATTTATGATGAATATTTTTATTTGTTTATTTTTATTGCTTATTATATTTATGTTACAATTTTCTTTAATTTAATTTAACTACTAACTTTAATATAGGTTAACTTTTAGTTTAGTTTTAACTGTTTTAGTTATAAATAGTGTTTTATATTGAAAGTGATTTTTATAAATGCAAATTTAAAGAATGCTTTTTGGTTTGTTATATTAAAACTGTCTTGCAAGGTATAAAATTATTTAAAAATAAGAATATTATTTATTAATATAAACTAAATTTATCAAAAATTAAGAATGAAATTATATTTTTTTCATTAATAAAACTGTAGCTTTATTTGAATAATAGGATTTTTTTTACAAATATGGTTATTTTTATTTTATCTTTTGATTTTTAATTTAAATTTTATTTTTATATAAAATAAATTTGCATTTTGTTAAGCGCAATCAAAATTTTAGATAATTTTGGTACTTTACTTTCCATCGAGTGTAAAAATGCCATTAAATCCTTATGTAATGAGTACGAAGTTTGACATGATTAATCGTACGTGGTGTGCTTGTGTACATATTGTCTGACACCCACATAAATAAAAAAATATCATAGTTTCATCTAAGGAATGTTATGTATACATCTTGGAGGTTGTTTATATATGAATATTTATCTAATGGTAAAATCAATGTTTCATTGGGAAATCAAATGAACAAATTAATTTTTCATTGAATAGAAAGGCAGATTTTTACAACCAATATGATGTGAAATGATTTTTCACAGAGTAAAACAATATCTAAAACCAACTATGAAGTTAAAATATGATGAAAATTATAAAAGGATGGAATTTAGAAAACTTATTCACCTTACTCTATAAACTACAACAAGAAATAATTGCTGGTTTCAGTTAATCGTAGTTACATTAGTAACTTTTATGAGGCATTCTGTTCTCCTCTGTATATCTAATCAACTAAGGAAAATTTGATGCTTTTAAAATGTTCCAACAATCAAAAATGCTTTGAAAAATAGAAAAAAAAAAAAAAAAAAACAAATTTTTTTTAATTATTTTAAGTTTTTAAGAAAGGGTTTAGCACAAAGAGATATATTTTTAAATTTCTTTCATCCAATTTTAACAAAGTCATTTGTCAATTTTTGCAACATGCATTATCAATTTTGGAAAATACTTGTTATCGTCTGCAGTGCCAAAAGTCTTTAATACATGTTTTGAGTCTTTTTATTAGATTTATTTAAAAAAATATTTTCTAAATACATGAAATCTGAATTCATTAAGAGTTATTCTGCATATTAAATGTGGATTATCATAATTCTTTTCATCTCAAAGAAAACAATGAAATGAAATTATTAGTTATGTCACTTCTAAGACTGTCGAAGAAGTAAACCATGAACAATGTTTTTTTAGGGTTTTTTCAGCTGTAAAAGGTTATTATGTTAACATTTTAGACATATGTATTACTTTTTAGTAAAGATAATTGCTGAGGTTTAAAATCCCAATATCTACATCTACTCCAAAAACTTATCTACATTACAATACCTTATTGAGCGATTCCCAGCTGTTTTAATGCTCAAAGAGGGAGAGTTGAAAAGGAAGGGGGTCATAATTTTGTGAATTATGAGTGGAAAATTAGAGGTCACTGATGAAAGTAGAGTTGACTCACAGTGGTCTCTAATAGGAAAAATTATCAACTTTCTTTGTCAAGGAAAGTATGAGAAGTTCGCTTCTTTGCTAGAATTCCATATTCAAACACTGACTATGAACAAATCTTCAGTCTAGTGAAAAAAAACAACACATTCTAGCGTTTCATTATTTAATGAAGGCCTGGAAAATTTCATGAAAATGTTTTGAAGATGATTTTAGCAAAGAATTTTTACAAATGGCAAAATCAGCTACTTATCTTTTCATTAATACCAAACAAAACTTCCAAGAAAAGATTTTAGAAAATTTACAATAGAAGAGTTTTAGCTTTGAAATTTTTTTGATCCAAAATTAATTGATCAAATGTTGTGTATAATGAAGCTATCCATGTGCGTCACCATTCCAACCCTCAATGCAAATGTGGAAAGATTACTTACCCTAATGTCAACTCAATGATTGAATGTAAGAAACAAGTTGTAAGAAGAAGGTAAATAATTTTGATTTCTAATTATGGCACTTACGTATTAACGGCCGGTTCCCGTTAGATCACCGAAGTTAAGCATCATTGGGCGCGGTCAGTACTTGGGTGGGTGACCACCTGGGAACACTGCATGCCGTTGGCAAATTTGGGACCTGAGTGGCCGAGTGTCTAGCGCTCGGTGCCACAGGTTTCGGGTTCGAATCCCGGCGGTGCCATGGATGTTTGTAGTGGTTCGGAATCCACTTTAAGCCGTAGGTCCCGGTCTCCTATGACTGTAAGAGCGTCACGGAGCAAAAGTCAGGCTTCTACCTACGGGTGCTCCATCACAACAGAAGCTGCTTCCTTCCCCTTCAATCATGAGTCCATATGGGCTTGTGGGCTTGGCCAGCCAAGTGGGATAAGAAACAACAACAAACAACGTATTAACGATACCTTGGCGACAGTTGCGCCAATAAAGAGCACACGCGCCAACCGCAGCTACAGATTTGGCAGTTTTTAAGTGGCACCAATCTACACTTAAAATTTTTGTTCCAAATAATAAAATATATATGAAACACTTCATTTAAAATCTAAACGCTTTCAAAATATTTTTATTCCAAATAAAAAAATATATAAAACACTTCATTTAAAATCAAAACGATTTCAAAATTCAAAACACTGTATTTAACACAAATTAATCAAAAACACTTCATTTAAACACAAAGTAGTCAAGCAGATTTCAGTGGAAAACAGGCCGATATAGAGTTTAACATGGATTCAAAACAGTCTCTTTTTTTCTTTCTCCTGATGCATTTTCGTACCAGTACAAAATGGTGTCAAAACTCAGCAAATCTGCAGCAGTTATATTGGCGCCACTTAAAAACCGCCAAATCTGTAGCTGTTACATTGGCGACACTTAAAAACCGCCAAGTCTGTGGCCAAGGTACCGTTAATACACAGGTACCTCAAATTGTTAAATTGTAGTAATTTTTTATCAAGCAGAAATAAAACTGCATAACCGTTCTTTTTTTTTATTTTTTTTATGCATTTACAAAACATAGCAGTTATAACAAAAGAATTCATATATTCAGTAGAAGTAACAACTATAAATAACAAAAATGCATTTTAATATTATTTATCAATAATTTTATTTGAGAAAATATGTTTGTTTTAAATTGTCTTCATTGAAAGAAATGCTAATATTTGTATTGGTAAGTTGTAAAGCATTTTTTTACTTTTTATTTTATTCCTTATAATTCCTTTCCCCTTTTATTTTATTCCTTATTTATTTTTAGTATAGATATACTTATTTTGTAAAATCCCTATTTATCTTAATCCTTATATCAAAATCACTACATTAATTATTATTTGTTGTTGTTTAATCTATTCATGCAAAATTCTTCCTAATTTTCATTCCCCGTGTTGGCACCTATGACAATTTAAACTTTTATTGTCAAGTGCAACATTGTGGCTAAATTGGATTTAATTAAAAATATTTGAGGTAATAAATATATAGAATATTCTTATTTTAATAAATCTTAATTTAAAAAGTTCATTAAAATACAATTTTGGTTTAAATTTTAAATAATTGAATATATTCATTACGTATTGTTATTATTAAATTGAATGTATTTTTCAGATGTAGATTGGTCCCAGCTGGTGGTGAAAGTGCTCTCGTTTCTAATGTATCAAATGGTTTGCCTTTAGAATTTGAACGTAGTGATGCTGCTAGAAGAATTAGGCTGTTCCTCAGTGAATTAGTTTTTATTATGTTTCAGGTAGGATTTTTTTTAAAACATCCATTTTAAATTTTGTATGTTATAATTTTTAAACATACATATAGTTATAAATTCATAAGAGTTAAATAAATAGTCTGTGGAAAATATTTCCTTGCTATAGTTGTATAAAAGTTGAAAAAAAAAATAATAAAATCCAAAAAATTTTCCAGTACTGTTGAATATCATTGTTGGCGAGACATTATAATATATATAAAAGGAACTTCAATTGCTGCATATTCTTTGTAATGTCTGCATCTTCAAAATGTCTTTTACATATCTAGTATGTAAATATGAAAGACATATTTATGTCTATTGTGGCACTTATTATTCATTAGAAAAAACACTATCTTTTTAACAATAATTTAGACACCTGTTCATTGGAGACCCTTAGAAAGTATAATAAAATGGTGCTGAGTTATAGCATAAATAATATTTCATTTTTATGTCTGGCCAAACAGTTTATATTATAGAAATATATTTCTATATTATAGATTAAAAGACTTGCTTTATTTTAAAATTTATTTTATCTCTGAAATATCAAAAATCTTTCATTGTTTGTGAAATCTTGCATTAATATAGTTTATATTGTTAAAAAAATATGGTCATGTTTGATATCTTTCATAGCAAAGTTACTTCATAGAGTAGCAATAAAATAGAGTATACATCGGGATTGCCAGTTTATGATCAGCATAATTGTCAAATGATGCATAATCATCCTGTGAATTTTTACAACTATCACTGTCTTGTCGGCTTGATCACTCTGATAGTCACTTTGAAATTAGTTTATGTAGGACTGGAAACTTTGTTTAACAATCTTTGTGATACATATCAGATTTATATCATAGCCAATATCTTAATGTAGCATGTTAGATAGAGAATTTTTATTTTTATGAACTGCTATAATACTCATCTATTGATCAAAACTATTTTTAACTAATTTAAACTTAGTTTTAGGCATGTATTTCAGGATTTTGTAGTTTAATATATGCAATGTGCACTCTATTTTATTACTATTCTATAGAACACTTTCAAAAATGACAGTTTTATTGAAATTGTTATTGTTAAATGGATTACTTGAAAATTGTAGCATAATTGGGTTTTAATAGTTTTCAAAAATGGAAAAATTGTAGTGCGGAAAACTTTATTAGTAAATAAATCTGTTCCTTAATATATTTCAAAAGCTCTTATTTCTTAAACATTTGTTTTAGTAATCCGAATTTATTGCATATTTATTTGGAAGAAAAGATCGGCCGGAAAATATACATATTTGAATTAACTTTTGCCTATCTGACAATAATTTACTGAATTTGTAACTTTTTTGGGAAAAAAAAAATTCAATACAATATTTTAATAGCAGAAAATTAATTTTAAATTTTTTTTTTTGTCAGACAGATATAGTCACAATAATTGTATGAAATATAAAGACAAAATTCCATCATGTTACAGAAATTATTAGTTTGTTTCATATTTTAAGATTTAATTATGATAATACTAGAAATATTCAATAAGATTTTTTTTACTCATTATAATTTGAAATTATATTTTTTTGTATAAAAATGTGTTTTATAAAAAATATAAAATTGTATTATTTAAAAAAATAATTAAAATGTATTTTTTTTAAAGGTAAAAGAAGGAAATATTGAAGCTGTCCAAAATTCTGAACTTTTTGATAGCATTGTATATTTGGATGAAATTGCTGATGTGCTTTGTATTGCCCAAGCAGGTTGAAAATATAATTCATATTTTAAAATTATTCTGTCTTTTTTATATGATAATATATTCATCACAACTAAGAATTGTATTTATTATCCATAATTTAACTTCTCAAGCTCCTCCCACTTGAAAGGACTAGAAGACTCTTCCCTCCTTCTTTTAGGCATGACCTCCACTTCTGACCTTCTTCCTTATTGCGTTTTTTCTCGATACTTTTACTGAAAATTTTAAATAAATCATTTATATTTGAAAATTAATTTTTCCATCTTGAAATTTCACATATTTATAGCCAAAAAGTGAAGAGTTCAGAATATTTTTTTTTTGAGGGAAAAAAAGAAGTCAAGAATGAGAGTTTTGAGAACTTTAAATTTAAGCATTTTGAATATTATTTTTAGCTAAATATCAAATTATCAAATTAAATCCCATAAAAAAGCTTTAAAAGGAAATGTGGATGAGTTCTGTAGTACTTATGCATTTGATGTATTTTTCTTTGAGTGTAAACTATAAATAAGAATCTTAAAACAAAAAGTTTAGAACTTTGAAGATTCATATTTCGATTATTTTTTATTTATAGTTTGCACTCGTGGAGAATATAAAAAAATAAGATTTTCAAATCAAAGAATTTGATGTAAAATGGCCCAAATCTAATATAATTAGTTCAGTTCTTTTAAAAATAATTAAAGTTGGTCATTAAGTTTTTTTATTTTTTTTTTATTTTTAAATCTTCTTAATTAAAAGTTAGAAATATAGCCAAAAACTAGTATTGCATTAAGTTAAAAGATATAGAAATAGAATTAAAAATAAAAATATAAAGAAAAAATTATTTTCTATACTCATATTATAGTATATATAATTAAGGAAATTTTAATGTTTCACTTTTCTTAATTAATTTATGTCAATTTAATATTAAATATTGTAATATGTCATTATCTTCTAATGTATAATTGAATCTTTTCAGAACTTCCTGGAGTTTTATATATACCAGATATTGCAGAAGCTTTATTGCATGTACCAAATGGGATTTATTTCATTTGTAGATTAGTGGTTAATTCCCCTGAAAGTTTTCAAGAAGGTATAAATGAATTATTTTTAACATTTAAGAAAAATATGATTTTGTTATACAGTTATTTCTAAAATACCTATTGTATGATAAATATTCTATGTATATAATGTTCAACATTCTTTGATCAATATAATTATAAATACAACATCATTGGTTTTAATTTGCTTATTGTTTTAATATATCTTTTATATTCTTATTTTAAATAAGAATATAAAAGGTAAATATATTAAAAGCCCTATATGTTACATCTTAGATGTTACATATTAATGACTTTTTTTAATGGAAATAATACTTAGCATGTAAAAATAATAGCAATAAAATAGTAATTTGTTTCATCCCTGAGGGTAGAGTTCTAGTTTTTATAACATTTTATGGGAAAATAATTGTATTTTGGTCAGCTGGTTAAAATCATATTTATATATTTTGAATAGAAACTGTAATAACTCATACAAAAATTTTATTAATTGTGAAACAAATTTTATGCTTACATTTCAATACATGTTTATAGATAAATGCCAATTTAAATGAGATATCTGATATTAGCATTAATAATTGTTGTAAAGAACACAAGCATTTAGTTAAAGCATATGTTTTCTCATGTGTT